ATAAGTGAATTCTGTTTTTAAAAGGAATAAATGGTGCACTAAAGAAAAAAGACTGGAAATACAGAGTGCTAAATTATGGTTGCGATTACTAGAAATGCTTCACAAAGAATTGATGTTTATGAAGGAATTTAACAAGAAGGGAAAAAAAGACTTAATTACTTACATATGCACAAGAGTTCGCAAAGAAGCAACTAAACACAGTGGTTAGAATTTGGTGTTTAGGGGCAACCTACTTTCTAGTCCCCTCTGTCTCTCTTAGACAGCTTGCTTTCTCAATAGCTTTTTCCTACTCTTAACCTCCATTGTTCCTAGAATTTATTCTTCAATTTTATAGAACATGAACTCAAGTTTCAGATACCTAGAAGGTTTGGGAGTTACATCTCTTCCCCCTATATCATTTTGGAGGTCTTCCACCAAGATTATTGGACAGAGATCTTCTAAAATGGGCAGTGTCACATCTGTGGGCTGCTCTGAGAAGTTTACATAAGGAGGAGCCACGACCAGCAAGAGAAACATTTACTATGATCTCAAACAAACAGTGTGGCTGGAGCCAGGGCCCCAGCACCATGCCAAGGTGACCTCAACCCAGAGCCCAAGAATGGAAGAATCAACACCTCCTTCTCCCAAATGATTCCTTCAATGTAATGAAGAAAAAGCTCGAATCTTTAGGCCATTTATTTCCTTTTATTATTTCTTGACTGATTTTTTTCCCCACCCTGTACTTACTACTGGAGACTTTTCAAAATTTTTTAACATTGATGGTCATATCTTAGTACTTAATTCAAAAAAACCTAGATTTCCTTTCTTATATATTGTGTTGACAAAGAAAAAATTCAGGAGTGAAATAAATTTTTCCCAGGAAATTTTAGAGATACTTATCAATGTCTATAATTCATACTCGTCAGATGAGGTTTAGAAGCAAACATAATTTTCCCAGTCTGTAATCAAAAGATTACAGATATATTTATTTCTAATTAAACTGGCAAATGCTTGAACCATGAAAATAGAGATACTTCATTAGGCTAAGCTTTATTGGTCTGATTAATAGGTTTTTTTGATTTTAAAGTTCTTACCAAAGCAATTTTTATCCCCTTAAAAAATAAATACTGAGCCAGGCGTGGTGGTGCATGCCTGCAATCCCAGCACTTGGGAGGCTGAGGGAGGAGGATCGCTGTGAGTTTGAGACCAGCCTGGGCTACATAGTGAGTTCCAGGTCAGTTTCAACTACATAATGAAACCCTGTCTCAAAAAAAAAAAAAAAAATCCTGAGTTTAATTACAGGTTAAAGCACTCTCTGTTACCAAAGCAACTTTGGAGTTCCATGTAATCAGAATCAGATAAAATGTATGTTGTGTAACCAATGTTAAGGGTGCTATTTATAGCCATAAACACACACACACACACACACACACACACACTCACACACAAAAAATCTGGGGCTTACACACTGTCTTAAAGGGAAACAAAGTATGGAGAAGAAACATGACAAAGGAAAGGGGGTTTCTGAGTGCAGCAAGTTACGGATGGTGACTAGGAAATGCATGGTTAAACAAAGGTTGTTTAGTAAAGTTTATTGTGCAAGTAAGAGTATTCTCAGGTGCTATATAGCTCAGTTTTTCAGTTTCTGGGAAAACATACCTGACATAAGCAACCTAAAGGAGAGGAGGTTATTTTGGCTCATGATTTCAGAAGTTTCAGTCTGGTCAGCTGGCTCCAAGGCAGAAAGAGCATGGCGGAGGAAAGCTGCTTAACCCATGGCAGCTAGAAGGGAGAGAGAGAGGGAGAGGGGAAGAGGGAGGGGAGAGGGAGGGGCAAAGAGGGGAAGCAGCCAGAGATAGGTATATACCTTGTGATCCACTTCCCCCAACCAAGCCCCACTTCCTAACAGCACATTCAGCTCTGAGCTCATCAAGTGATTAATCCACTGATGAGGTTAGTATCCTCCATACATATGAAACTTTGGGGGATACTTTATTTTAAAATTGCATTTATTTTTTAATTAAATATTTTTATTAGTACATGTCTATGGTACATAATGATTACATTCATCACAAGGAGTTGGTACATGTATACAACACCTCTTAATTCTGGGGACACTTTATATTTCAATCATAACAGGTGCTAACCAGGTGTAGTGGCACACTTCTGCAATCCCAGCATTCAGGAGCCTCAGGCAGGAGGATTACTGCCAGTTCAACTCTAGCCTAGGCTACATAGTGAGACCCTATCCCAAACAACAACAACAACAACAACAACAACAAAAATAAAGAAGAATAATCTCCAAAGTAGTTCTGTGTCTTGTAAAAGATAGAGAGACATCTTTACTGATGGCAATTTATGTCCTGATTTTAAATTGAAAAAAGTGGACAGAGAGCTACAGGGATCCTCTTTTTTTTTTCTGGTATTGGCGCTTGAACTCAGAACCTTGTGCTTGCTAGGCAGGTGGTGGCACCAGTGAGTGAAATCCCCTGCCCTGATCCCCTCTTGTTTTTGTAGATGTGTTCCAAGAACTCCAGGGGATGCAGTACTGACCCATGCATGTGCTGTTTCTTCCTGTATCCCCTGCAGCACTGCCACACGACACTACAGTGAATCTTTCCTTCAAATCTATGCTGCAGTGCCTCTTTTGCATCACTACTCTTGTGTTTTGGAGCCACTACTTCCCACAATAAGGATTACCTGAACACAGCTCTTGGAGAGGGGAAGGAGCGAGATGATGTGACCCTTCCTCCCCAGGAGCACCTCAGCACTAGGCCAGGATTTTAGAGGAGGCAGAGAAGCAGAGATCAAGGCGAGGAGGGGTCTAGAAGATGATTCATAAAAACCCACTCCATATTTCATGAGGGGACTGGATAAGAAAGTAAGTACGTTTATATCTTCTTCTGTTCTCTGTGTATGTTCTCAACCAGCTAATGAAATAGTTTCATCTTGGTCATGAACTACACCAAGCATTCTTTCAAGCACTGTACACATAAGTTGGAGGTTTGCAAATGTTTTTCTAAGCTGTACTTTCTATTGTAATCTGATTTTCAACTGAAAGAAATTCATGGGGAATGTGGAAAATGAGCCAGAATTTGCCCTTAGTCTCCCTGAACCTCGTCTACCCGGAAAACAGGCTGCTTCTTCTTTCTTTAACAGCTTTCATTGGATGCCATTTAATGCATCATCTAGGAGCTTGTAAGGCAGCTGTCTTGCTATGAAGACTTCAGAGCTCAGCAGGTGCTCCCGTGAACATCACGGGCCCATGTTTATGTACCTGACCGTGGCCAGAGATTTCAGGCAGCAAAAAGCAGGCTGAGAGGCTGCAGGAGCCAGTGGGTCTAGCTTCCAATTCTGTAATCTTAATAATTCAGTGCTTTTACTAAACACAATTCTTACCTTACCCATCCTTACCAAGAGAGTGGTAGATTGCAATTAAGTTGAGAAAAAATTTTGTATTCTCAGACCTTATTTTTCTTTATGAAGTGTAAGTTAAGCCAAAAGAATAAGCCCTATTCAATTACGTATCATCTCCCCTCAAAGGCAACTCCAGAGGAGATTTGAAGTGGAAATCCTTATGTAATTGGGTTTCAGTTAATGTAGTGGATTCCCAATATTTAACTTCACTACATCCATTGACCATTTGGGTCTCTAGGTAGAAATTCTGACCTCTTTCATCTTTTCTATGGGAGGTGAAAATGCCAGTCATAGGAAAGAGGATATAATTTAGGAGTAAACAACATGTAGTTCAGGCAAAATAACCCATTTCAGCCTTAGTCAAGGGATATTCGCCTACAGGTAACTCCCTCAAGTCCCAGCCCCATCTACTGGGGTGGAGTGAAGCCAGGTTACAGGGAGAAGGGGTGTCAACGGGAGGGTAACATGACAGGGCTGGAGAGGAATACGTCCTGTCTCACATACAGCAGGAGCATCCTGCAGGTAACTGTCACCAGAGGGCCAGCTGACCTCACCACTCCTGAGTAAGGTCTCCTAGGGGCCATACTGGCTCACAGCATGCTTCCTCACACTTGCTCCTGGGCCTTTGGAGAGAGCTGAGAACGATGAAGAAGACAGGAGAGCTGAGGAGGAGGGACACTGGAGATGGGCAGCAGGAGGTTGTGGAAAGGTGTGCTGAGACCCCAAGAGTGCATCCCAGGCCCCGCCCTCCCACCCATCTCCTCTGGACCTCTTGCTCCTAGCTCTCTCCTTTCTGCACAGCTGCCCCACTGAGGTCTCAGGCCCTGACAACTGGGAAGCAGTGAGAGCAGAAGGCCTGGGTGGAGCAGGTGGGTTGTGGGACAGCTTCTCTACACAAGGAAAGTTATGGGGGTGGCTAAGTTGAGAGGAGAGGACTCTTCCAACCCTCCAGAAGTCCACTGTTCCCCAAGACTCTACTTCCTCACCGAGAAGTGAAGCCCAGCCTTGCCCAGGTCAGGAGAAATGTATGACAACTCTGATGCTACGACGTGCAGCATCAGGTGCTCCCTGCCCTCTCCTCATCATGGTGGGAGAGGGTGCCTCTCTCCTGTGGCTTCCTAGGGCTCTCCAGCTTCTCCTGGAGCTGACTCCTTCTCCACAGGCCCACGGAAGAGCTGTGATCATACTCTTCATGGGAAGATATCTGAGCATCCACTCCCAGTGGACTCTCAGGAAGTCCAGGTGGCTGGGGTGTGAGTTCTGGCTGTACCACCCATCTACTGCCTGCAGGACATTGCCCTTTCCCCTGGCTGGTGAATGCTCATAGAATCTCAATCCTTGGCTCAATGCGTCTCTAACTCTGGAGTGTTCCCTGACACCCAGAGCCCCAAGGCTGAGCAGCAGGACCTCTCTGTGAGACACTCTGTCATTTCCCCAGTTAAACTGCCTGCCTCCATGGGTTGAGAGGAGGGGGCTCAGATGCAGTATGCAATGAGAGGAAGTGGGGGAGAGGAAAAGGAGAAAATGGGATGGTCAGCTGGACTACTGGGTATGGAGGTGAGGGGGGCCCAGTACACTCCCCAGGAAGCCACCACTTCTCTCACCTGTTTGAGGAGAGCTGCTCCAGGCATGCCCTCTTGCTCCATCGTGTGCTGCAAGGACAGGAACGGGGGAAGCAGCTGCCTTCTCCTCCCAGTAGCACCCCCATTTCTCAGTTGGTTTACAGAATTTGGCTCCAGTTATTTTACTCAACAAGCTCCAAGTCCCTAGCCCTTGACATTTCTCTGACACCTTGGAAAGGCCATGAGGTCATAACACCACCCCCAACATACACACATGCACCATCCCAGACACGGTAGATAGAACTGTAAAGAGGATTGCTAAGGAGAGGCAACTATAACCAAAAGAGGAGGCTGAGACCCTGACAGGTTCTGAGGACCCACAGGACCACAGGACCATGGTAACCTCCAGTTTACATACATGTCAACGTGGGCTCCATGCATGGTTTTGGCACAGGTCATCTCAGTGCTTCCAATACCCCATGGGGTAGTGAAGAGCACCTTCATGTCATAGATGACCACCTTCATGCCGTGGAGGTAAGGAGAGGTGCAGTAACCACACTGAGGTCACCTAGCATGGGCCTAGACTCAAACACAGGTCCTTCCCCTGCCTCTCAAGACTACTTCCCAACCTACCTCTGCCCAGAAAGATAGTGGGTAGGGCCCAAGAGGATGAGGACTCACCTTTTTCCTCCATGTCCTTTGGTGGAGGGCTCATGGTCATCAGGGCTCCCAAGATCCCCGCCTGGGCTTACACAGGCTGTTCAGCCACTCACACCTCCAGCCTGGAGTGCTTCCCTGGCCCTTTGGTAACTGGCCTTCCTTCCTGGGCCCCAACAGCGATAGGGCTTGCTGGCTGGAGACTGATGTAAAATTTGGGAGAGAGATGGGAAGGAGGCAGCAAGTTCCCAGCACATCAATCCAGCCACACACTTCTCTGCTTAGGTTTCCCTGCTGAGGACTGCGTAGCCTCCTGTTTCAGGTATCACTTATACATGAGGGGCCCTGGAGGGGCCAGGAACTGCAGGCTGTTTCCTGGCAATGACACCACTTGCATTTCAGTCAAGGGAGGTGTGAGCTGCATCCCAGTATCTTGAGTGCCTGTTTGGGGCAAGGTACCAGGAAGTTTCAGGATGCTTGCAAGCAAGTGGTCACCTGGCTTCTGTTTAAAATGCAGATTCCCAAGACAACACTGGGCATTTAGACCAGCAGGCCTGGCATGTGCCCAGGAATCTGCAATTGGGTCCTGAGCTCACACTGATGAATGTCTCCTGCCCAGACAGCTGCCCACTCACTCAGCAGCTTCCCCACTGCTGCCTGCCTTCAGGGAGGGCAGATCTGACTGCTTTGAAAATGACTGCCCGATTTCAGAGGGACCCTCTGGAAGGTGGTCCCAAGGCCCCAGAGTTTAAGATTCTTAATCTGGGATCTCTGTAACTCCAAGAGTTGTGGCTGGAATTTTGTGGGTTGGTGAACAGTGGCAGGGAGAACATTACATCTTCTTTTCCTAGTCTCGAACTGAAATTTAGTAATTTTTATCAATTATGAATGTGGACAAAAATGTATGATTTTTGTCCCAAAAGAAGTCACAGGTAATTTTTATATCACCTTAAACTCAAAATATCATTTATGCTTACCACTACTTTAAAATTATAGATGCACTGGATCTTGTTGCTTAATTACTAGGAAACATGTGTCATAGGACAGATGTTTAAAATTATTTCAATGTCTATTTAAGAATTATTTGTCTATTTTGTAATCCTAATATTTTATGGATTTAAAAATTTATGGGCATGGTGGCACACACCTATAAACTCAGCATTCTGGGAGGCTGAGAGAGGAAGGTGGAAAGTTTGAGCACAGCCTGGACAATTTAGTAACTTAGACCTCTCACAATTTAAAAAAAAATT